ATCAAGAAACGTGTCGGTTTGGACAGCGCAAAGGGAGGGTTTTCGTTCTTTGGCGTTCGGGCACTAAGATCTAGGACGGTAATAATCCGTCTTTATTTTTTTTAAATATATTATTTGTCCAATTGTGTTTTATTAACTTTTCTTGCACACATTTTCACTTTGACTTTAAAAATTACAAATTGACTGAGTTCTTTGAAAGATAACTATCAATAAGTAATGAGTAGGGTATTTCTCTCTACACTTCTATCAGTTGGGACACTTTAGGCTGCTGTTGCTGACATTTTACTTGTTTTGATGTCTTTATCTGGGGATTTATTTATTTATTTATTTATTTTTTTGCTGGTCAACATTTTAAATAAATTTTACAGAAATTAGGTTTAACATTTGATGCTGGTTGACTTGTAATTTCGGTCGTCATATTTTTCAGTTCATTTCCACAGACCTAACTTGATTCGGTTTTTTCTATGACACTAATTAATAAACTATTTTTTTTTTTTAAAGGGAGGAATGATGGGGCTTCGCTCAATTGAACCAAAAAGGGATGAGACTTCTGAACAGGGAGATGGAACGGCATTGGAAGAAAACACTCGTTTTTCACAGGCTTTGGGTACAGGAATTTGCGTTAAAGACGATTCTCCGAAAGAGTGCACAAGCGGATCTAAACCGCGGAAGCATTCAGTTGAAACTGATAGTGCAGGAACGGCGATATCATCCAAGGTTGAGGAGGCAGTCTGTGAAGGTATCGATCTAGCTGGCGACCAAACTTTGCAGGAATTAGTGAAAGGGATTGATGGAAAACGTGAAGTTCCTGAGTTTGATGAAAAGCTGAATCATGTAGTAAGTCATTATTTTTCTGCTGTGTTTCAGTGTCTCTCAAACGCGTTATTTCAATACACGTCTTAAATGAAGTTTAACTGGGTATATCTCTGTTATCGCGTCTTTGTTGATTACGTATTAAGTTCTATAGTGCTGCTTTTTCTCAGTTTTTTTTGAAAGACGGACTAAGTAAAGAAGATCGGAAAAAAGGAGAAGCATTCGGTGAAAAGTTTTTCGAAACGTACAAAAAATTCTTCAACAATCGCCAGGACTTTATCAATGCTCTTAGGGACATCGCTGATCAGGTTAGGATTTGTCGCGTAGCACTTTGTTTAGCTTTTTTAGTGGCACGTCAGTCTTTCCTGTACGATTTGTCCCTAAGCTTACATCATGCTGTTGTTTTAACAATATAGGCCTGCTTGACAGATCTCCGAATACTTCCATCAGCTTCGTTTATAGCATTTATAACTTTTAAGGTTGTGCGTGTACAGTACCGCTCCAATATTTCTCACATCATAGGAAGTACTGTAGGAGCTCTGGGTGGAGGTGCGGCTCTTGCAGGAACTTTCTTCCCACCTGCTTTGCTAGGAGGTATCTCTTTTAGTACTAAAGTAATGACATTTTAAGTAATATTGATTATATCCATTCAAGTGTTTGTCGGCAGGTTTTCGTAAACCTCATTTCAGACACACAGTTACAAAATTTTTACAGGTCTTGCAGTAGCAGGAGTCGGTTGTCTGAGCAACCTTACTACGTCTGTAGTGCAGTTGATAATTTTCCATAAGCTTCTACAGACTGCGGAGCAGAAGTCTAAGTATGATGAGAGTTTGCTTGAGTCACTTCGAAAAGTCTATGACGAGTTAGCAACATCGGACATGGCTCGTCTTTTTTTTCGCTTTTCGTTTCAAAATCAAGTCTTTTTTGAGAACCCTAAGCTAAGCTGAAGCACTAATGCAGGAATGTTGTCAAATGTTTTTTTATTTTTATAATAACTATTACAGTACTAAATAGTGTTGAATTGTTGCATAATTTGTACTTCTTTTTTCTAAAATACCCATTTATGTTCACTTTGGACAGTTTTAGTTCACTCTGGACAGTCATCAGTCTAGTGGTGGTTTGGGAGAGGAGTTTGAATCATTCAAGAAACATGTCGGTTTGGACAGCGCAAAGGGAGGGTTTTTGTTCTTTGGCGTTCGGGCACTGGGATCTGGGACGGTAATAATCCGTCTTATTTTTTTTAGAATATATTATCTGTCCAATTGTGTTTTATTAACTTTTCTTGCACACATTTTCACTTTCCATTTTTAGGATTAACACTTCCTCTCTCTAAATCTCTTAAGCTTTTTTCTTCTAAGAAAGAGTAAGTTGCTTTTTAGAAATTTGAACAATGCCGTTCTAGATTAGAATCGGTCCCACCGTCTTAAAGGGAGTCGCACGCAGTTTGGTTGGACTAAGTGTGGTGATAGATGGGGTCACCATTTATCTTTCCGCAGATGACCTGAAAAAGGGATCGATTACAAACCTAAGCGAAGCACTGAGAAAACTTGCGGACGATAAAGAAGAGGAACTGGAAAGTATACAGAAAACGGTGATGGCGGTTCAGATATGCGAAAGAAAGTTGGCACAAACGGATGAGAAACGTAACGTGTTTGCAACTTTGTAGCCACTTTAAGCGATTAGATATTTAGTAGAAAAATTTGCGAACACTTGTAGCGGAGCGTTATATCCCTATCTCTGAGTGGGCAGTAAGATCAATTTTACATTTTTTAGCAGCTTCATTTTCATTATATTTTCTGTATTTTCTAACTGGCTAGCGCCAGAACCGTAAAACTTACTTCTAACGTGTATTGCGCATCACGCTTTTGGCTGCGTTCCTTCACTCCGAATCTAGGTACTGCAGGTTGAAATTTCATTGTACATTTTGTGCTGTAATCATTTGCAGCAGTCGCGGAGTATTTTAACAGTTGGAATTATCAGGACTAGTTTTTAGCACAGTATCTTATTTCTTTTTTATGAAAAGACTATATTTTCAGTTCTTTCAGTGTAATCTTCGTATGAGTTCTTGATAACAGATATGCTACGAGTACAAACATTGTGCATATGTTGTTTTCTTTTTTGGTTGAATTGCAATTTATCTTTATTTAAACCGCAATTATGTTTATTAGGGCTAGTTCGGTGCAGCTTGGTTGTTTGCTCAATTTATTATTATTTTTTCTTTGGTAACTTGTTGTTAGATATATAAGCTGGTGTTTTTGAGTCATTGTTTTTTTTGTATTTTGAGGCTGGTATATTTTTTTATTTTGTTTGCGGGTCATTTGTTTATGCAAGTGTTTTGAGGTAAAGAACGATTCTTCACTCATTGTTTAATGCATTTTTATATTTTAATCCCTGATTGGGTAAACCAGTCGCAAGTTTGCTTTGTTCATGCATTATAGTACTACAGTGCATAGAAATTACGTGGAAAAGCTGTTAACTGCAAGCTATAAATTCAGGTTCTGAGAGCTTAATTGTTTTTCTGAAGACTTTTTCCATTGTTAGGTGACAAATGCACTTTTTTTAATGCGCTTCTGCTGCACTTCGTATATACTGGGAAAGTTTGTTCCGTTAGCTGTAGGGAAAAGCCAATGTTGGCTTGTTAAACGCTGCTTTTAGTAGTTTATGATTTGGTTTTCTAGTGCACTTTTTCATCAGTTTTGTGAAATACGTTGTTTTGACCAGATAGTTTAGATTTAATCAGATAGTTATTGTTTAGCTCTTATGCTTTTAATAGAAGAATGAGCTTGAGGATGTTGCAATAGAAAGTTAAAACAACGTCGTCTGTTTCGAAGAGTGACCGTGACAAAGGTCTTGGGAAGTTATGAAGGTTTCAATTATGTAATTATAAGAGGCTTTTTTTAACTGACTTGAATAAAACGGTTTTGTTGGCCATTCATTCTCTATCATTTGCATTAGCAGTACACACAATGACTGTAAACGAACAATAAGCAAGGATGCGAAAATTTTAGATGAGATTCAGTTTTAGATTCTTGGGAAATACTGTTATATATACAGCAAAGGATTTAAAAAAGAGTTGCTATATGTGTTAACATTCGAACCGTGGTACAGAAAATAATTATTAAGAAGGAAGAATATGCATGGTTTGGTGATTTGGAAGTGGTTTCTGTTGCTGAGGCTTTTAAATTCATTGCAGTTGGGACTTCGACGACTGTCTCGTTATGATGCACTCGGATTATTCGTGAGTCTGCGGCTGGTGGAACCTGGTTTAGTGACATATCTGTAGACGCTTGAGTAATCTGGGAGAAAATTGGCGTAGAACCTTTAATGAAATCCTCGATTAGGTACAGAGCCACATTTGGTTTATCAGTTGGTACCATATGACCTGCGCCCTGAAAAATGTATTTAAGCAATGTTGCTGTTGTAAAGTGCAGTGATCAGATGCCGTCTGCAAAACAAATGAATTTTGAAAACGGATGGTAAATAAAAATTTCTTGATCTAGCAGCGATCTTTATAACTGAACAGCGTCTTAAGCGGGGATAATAATTCACCACTCTGATGGAAAGATTTTGCTGCTGTGCGCTCAACAATAGATGGTTGAAACAACTAGGTTTCGAAATTTACTGCAAATGAGTCAAAACGGTTCCTCAATATGCCAACTGTTGAAAGTACCGAGTGGTCATGAGATGGTGTTGGAGGGGTCAGGAATGATTTACCTATTTAAGAAGCGAGTCAAAATCTGGTATTTAAGGTCGTTGGAGTTGATTTCAGAATTAAACTGTGCACCAAAAGTTGTATTTCTTCAAGCACTAAGTGGTATGAAGTGTCTGGGATGCACTAATTCTTTGAACTCAAAATTGAAATGGAATGAAAGAATTTTGATACAGTTTTCATTTTAAAAGTGACTGACGTGGAAAATCCTTAAGATTTGCCAGTTAAACGGCGATTCACTTAATCACAGCTGTTTGTTCCAGAAAGGAAATTTGTTGGAGGCCAAATAAAAAATTTGGAAAAATTGCAATTTTAAGTGAGTAGGTTTGTTGAAAAAAAGCAAAAGCGATCCTGAACAATATACTGTTAGTGTTACTGTGTGGGAGGGTATGAAGGAGAGCATTTGCTAAAGGTTTATAAGAACCTTATACTGTTCACTCACATGGACAATGACAACTTCGAGATCGCCATATTTTGTGATGAAACCGGCATGTTTCCCGTCGACGGCAAAAGGCATTTTGGGTTGTGTTACCTAAACAGTCTGAAAAAACTCAATTTGTATAAGAAAAATGTTTAAAATTTTGAGGAATTCCCAAATTTGTAAGATTTCCCTATTCGTTTTGGTTCATCCATTTTGAGTATAATTTAAAATTTTTTTGTTCACCAAAAAGGTTCTGTGAAGTGACCGTTTTAATGTGGTCCAAAAATTTGCTTTTCTGGATATTTGTCATGATGATCATGATTAAACAGCAAAATAACAGTAGACGCTAACCCCGTATCCAAGATTTCGAGCAAATTTTTCTCCATGTATAAAATTGCAGACAAGATCCAGATCACCGTAATGTAACAGTACTTTCAGACCTGAATTAATGGCTGACTTCAGCTTGTCTTCCATACTTCGATAGATTTTCTGATATCGAATAGTCGTGCTAGAAGTTCCCATACGAGATTTCGTTAAATATTAAAGCTTTGAATTTAATTGGACAAGACAAATAAGCAGAGAGTTACGGATGAATTGTAGCATACTCAAGATAGAAGAAAGGAAACAATAGCAAAACAGTGTCCCTTTTTCTGCCTGTTAAGCCGTGACGATTAGTCATTACCACTTACCCGCAAGACCTCCACGGACGTGCGCTTCTAGGGACCAAAAGTGCATCACGAACGTCTTCACGATTCATGAAGATTGCCACCGCTTTAACACCCATACAGGTCAGTTGTTCAGCCTAAAAAACTTTGTACTAATCTTTTAATTAAACTCGAAATTAAGTGCGGAAAAAAGCGGTAAATACCGCTGCTCTGACATAATCTATATCTGGCTGGTTACGCCTTAGAGGAAAAGTATGGAAAAAATAAAATAAAAGATACATTTTCATATGGATGTTTTTAAGGGTTTTGAACTAAGTGACATTTTGTCCTTCGATTTGTTCTTCCAATTTATGGTTTATCATTAATCTTAGACATTCTCTAAGGTTTCTAGATAGATGTAAAAAAATTTATTGCTTTTCCCGTCTCCGTTTTCTTAAGTATAGTCTTGACAGTAGTAATATAATCAAGTGCTGCTTCAAGAAAATTAAACACAGCAGGTTAGAACAAAACGCTTATAACAGACGTCGCTCATGAATGAACTCAGCGCGTATCGTCTAAATCTTCGCCCTCCTCCTTGTGTACAGTCTGCGTACATATTGTATCGATGTAAAAGTAATGCGTAACTAAAAATCAAAAAGGCCATTAAAACTTTTGTTTTGTTGCTATAATCGTTACAAACTATAATCGTGTAATTAACCATAATATGAAATTTTCGTTGCAAGTTATGTGGGATCTTGCAATTTATTAAGCAAAAAAGTTAATAGTTTTATTACTATGTCTAAATTTGCCTTTTCTTTTTTTCAAGAATAACAACTAAACGGACACCTACCGAGCATCATGATGAGTTTTGTCGAAGAAATATTTGCAAAAACCACTGGTGTACTGTGTGAAATCACATTCATCAATATCGCCATCGCAGCACTCGTCTTTTGCACGCTCCCATGCGCTAAAAACTTAATAGTATTTTGGGTTATATTCTTTCATTTCTTTCTTTTAGTTTTTTTCTATTAATACCTAAAGAAAATGACTGTGCAGAAATTTTTTCACAGAAAACATAAGTAAAAAGTTTCTTGTTAGTTACCGCTAAATAAAGCATCAGTTATGGGTAATAATTGACAAGTTAAATCTACTGCTGTTCTTTTTTTGCTTCTTGATTTATATTCAGCAAAGTATTTCATAATATGATTAACTAACAGGATGGTCATTACTGTCATTACTCCTGTTAGTGCACTCCTCACTTGCAGATGGTTAGCGATTGATAAAATCTGTTTAGTAGAGAAGAACTCTTGACTTTTAGATACGACTCCTTTTTTTATGCAACAGTGAAGCCAAGCAGATTAGAAGAATAAATTTTGCAAGAAAATTTTTCTGCAAGTATTTTTTTTTTTATTTTCTGCCTGCTAAAGCTTATGCTATATGTCTTAAAGTCTGTGATCAAAAGTACTTTTAGGCCTTTAATGATCTTGTGCAAAGTAGTTGACATCAAAGATGGTTTTTTTTCAATGATCTGTAGAAAAAAAAAAGTAAAAAAGTCAAACCAATAAAGCAGTAAGAAAAACAAAAAACAATCATTATAGTCTTCAGTGATAAAAATCTCAAATGTTGGTTGTCAATCTCAAAAAGAATTATAACTTGCAAAAAAAAAAAAATTGTCAGCAAAACCTGCAATGATCAAATAATGGATTTAGACAACACAGTGCCCATTGATTTTTAAAATGGGTTTAAGTAATTCAAGTCTGAAGTACCTCTCACACGCAAATTTAAGTAACTTATTTTCCCCCAAATATTTATTCTAGAATAATTTTTTTCTTGTCAGAAATGCTTTCCAATTTCTGTTGAATTTCAGCTAAAAATATTTAATAAATATGCGCTGTTTAACAACTATATCTATAAAATACAGAATTAAACTACAATCATTTTTTTGCATTCTTATGTATAAAAAAATGAAAAGTTCTTTTTCTAAACGTTTGGTAGACTTTTGCTGGTAATCAGAGAGAAAAAAAACTATATACACTCCCGTAGAAGTAAAGCGTTTTTGCATCAAAAGGTTCCACTTTTTGTATGTATTTTCTTACTCTTAAATATGGCTAATCAAAATTGCCGGCAAGAAAAAAAGCTTGAAGAAAATAATTTCTAGTTTTTAATGAAAATTTTTTTTTTTTGCAGTCGGAAATAAACTTTACCGACGAATATATTTAGCGAACATATCGATCAAATAAATTGTTGTACTGTGAAAACTGTAACATATATGACGCTGTCAAGTTCAGCGTTTAAAATTAGAATTGTAAAAACAATTTCTTTTTACTGGAAAGCAGCAAGGCTTAACAGTTCAGTTTAAAATTCTTTTCTTAAAGCTGAAAAAAAAATTTATAATTGTAAACGGTTCAAAAATTTTGTCAGTGAAAAGAAAAGTGTACTAAGAAGTCGACAAAATGGACACATCGTCAAACATTGGTAGTATTTACAGTTAGCTCGACAGGTGACAAAAAAAATTCCGAGAAACCCTAATGAAGTCTAAGATTTTTTTTTGTTCTTTACAGAAAAAAATTATTTAATCTGAGTTTAGAGCATTTATTTTACGTCTATCTTTTTGTCGCGTAATATATTTTCAAAGGAATATCGCAACATTTTGAGCAAACAGGCAACAAATATTTCAGCTACAAAAGAGTCGTTCGTTCTGTCATTTTCTAACTTAAATTTTGCATCCCCCTATTTATTCCAAAAAAAAAAGCAACGCAACATAAAAGATTCAAACTACAAATTCATAATAAAGATAAAGCTGTAAAAGTTATAATGCTGATTAAAGTGAATCAAAGTGATACTTCCACAGAAAAACATTATTAATAAGTAACAAAAAAAAAAAGTTTGAAAAATTATTGAATTTTATAAGTAGTGCTTAACACTATCAATCTGATAACAAATATTATCATAGCATACTCATTATATATGGATGTCTAAAGAGAACTTGAATACCTTTCATCAATAAATCCATGGTAGTAGGCGTACGAAATGAATGTGTTATGTCGTAAATCTGGATCCAAAACACCGTTACCAATCACTAGACCCTCAAAAACATCTGTAGTTCATTACAAAGGTCAAGTTTATCGACGATGTCTTCAGCTACAGCATTTTCACTGAGTATCTATGACAATACAAAGAAGGCAAAACCACTTTTTTTTTCGTTTTTTGAAAAATGTGCAAAAAAAAAAGTAAACAGGTTTTGCAATGTTGCTGTCAAAAAAAATACACAGTTGTAATTTTCCCATTTTTACAACAAATTCAGAGCACAAAAATAGGTTGTTCAAAAACTGTTCTAAAAGGAATAAAATTTCCAAAAAAAAAAAAAAAA